ATGAATGATTGTTAGTGCTAGTGCTGAATGATTGCATAAAAGTCAATAGAACCTTTGCTTCAAATTTTTGTTCGTAACCTGATCCATCTGTTCTTACAATCTTAAGCACATCTATCACAGACGGGAACATGTTTTCCAAACTGATTAAACAATTATAATGAGAGCTCCATCGTGTATCACTAGACCGCTTAAGATTAGTTTCTTGATTCAGGCCTTGCCCACTTAAGAGCTCATTATTATTGAGTGCTTCAAAAATTGCATCAGCATGCTTTTCTCTCAGCATATCACGACGCTTAGCGGATGCACCCACAACATTCACCACATTAGAAACCATAGTAAATAAATCTGCAATTTCTGAATGTTTCTTTGCCACAGCTACCAGAGCTAGCTGAAGTTGATGAGCAAAACAATGAACATAAAAAGCAGAGTCATTCTCATTTAGAATGAGTGTTTTAAGACCACTAAACTCACCTCTCATATTACTTGCGCCATCATAACCTTGCCCTCGCAATCTAGAGATGCTTAATCCATGTCTCGAAAAGAAATCATCAACGGCTAACTTGAGTGAGGAAGATTTAGTATCTGTAACATGCACAATACCTACAAAACGTTCAATTACCCGACCTTTATCCACATAACGTAGCACAATTGCCATCTGCTCCTTTGAAGACATGTCACATGATTCATCAACAAGAATTGCAAATAATGAATCACCAATATCCCTGATGATTGCATTGATAATTTCAGTTGAAATAGCACTTGAAATGTCCTTCTGGATATCAGGTGATGTCAACTTCATGTTTTCAGGAGCATTTTTTAGTGTGACAGCTTTTATATCATCATTGAAACGACATAGCCATCGTAAAAATGCAAGAAAATTCCCTTGATTCGTTGAATTTTCAGATTCATCATGCCCACGAAATGGAAGTCCTTGTTGTAAAAGTATCCTGCTAACACCAACTGATGCACCTAAACGAGTTCGATAATCAATTCGATCTTGGTTTGAGTGTTTTGAGAGAATTGTTTCAATATGCTGTTTTTGGTTTAATAAGACCTCACAACTTCTCCAAGCTTTATTATGGGCACTATTCGGTCCTCCAACATGAATTTGTAGTCTATCTTTTTTCTTCCAATTCGAAAATCCAACACCAACAAAAGATTCACCACCAGATTGCTCTCCAATATCAGGTTTAAAGAGATAACAACATAGACAAAAGGCAGCATCTTTTTCTATGCTGTACTCTAACCAAGTAGGAAACTCTAGGATTAAATCGTCTTTGTTTTGCTCCAAAATTTTTGTAAGGAAAATTATGCCCTCGAGGTTGACAAGGACCGTTTTGGAGATAAGCTCTTCGAACTTGGTCTCGAACATTTGGATGGTAACTCAATATTTGATTACGTAATCCGGGATCAGCTGGCAAATTTTCCAAGTTAACTTCCGTAGTTTGGTTTGAACTACTATCATTTTTCTTTTGACTCTTTGCAGGTGACGACTCCACTAACTCAGACTTTGATTTTCTTTTGAAAAATCTTTCCATAACTTGAAATACATATATGAACTAAATTTAAATTGAAACAATTATGAACATCTTCTCAAACTTATAAACCGAAGCAAATTGAGCATTCAATTCAAAACAATATATTAATCAAACCAATAGAAAATCATATATATAGAAATTTATAAATTAAAATTAAAATTTCACCAACACAAGTTCACAATTGCATAAATAATTACATACTACGCAAGAAAAATTACAAGGGACAGACAAATACATACTTGGAGTTCAATAGCGATTTACCAAATATCTCCAAAGCCTTTTCTATTTGGTAATCTACACATAAATTGAAAGACCCATTAATATCAATAGAAATAAAAAAAACTTGATAATATAATAAGAATTTGAGAAGAAAAAAAAAACTCACAAGTAACTGGTTGTTTCTGACTCAAGAAAAGAGAAAAAGGCTTAGGTTTAATAATAATAATAGTTCTAATCCTTTTAGGAATGGGTAATGGATGATTTTAGGATATTGGCTGTTAATAGGGCCCACGTTGCTGAAATCTACTTTGGTTGCTTGCTGGATCATGCCACTATGGCTTAAATTCTTAGGCTGAAATTTGCTTTGGCCCATATGCCTTCTACAATCTGCTTCCGCCAAACTCTGTATAGTGTATACTAGTACTATTTTTTTTAAAAATAAAATTTCAGTGGGGGCCAGTGACTGCACTGGTCCCCATGTGCCTCTGCCATTGGAGACATCCCAACGGTGGATCTCCCCCTTCACCAGATCCGTGGGTGTCTTGATATGTATCTAAAATTTGAATTCGAGCCTTTTACTTTGAATAAAATTTCAAATTCTAGCTAATTAGTTTGATAATACTAGACATTCGTTTTGAAATTGCATTTTGAATTGTCCATCTTGGCATCTTGAAAGGTGATGTTGTTGCCATTTTTTCTTGTCTTTCTTTTTGGTAATATTTGCTGCCCAATTTTCATCTCTGATGAAGTTGGTTAAGTTGAAAATGAAAGCGGCAACTTGAGCAACTCAACTCGCGGTAATCTGGGTGAGCTGGAGTTTGGTTGTGTTGGAGAGGAGAGCGGCGATTGCGGTGGGTTCGCTGGATCGGTGAGCTGTCTGTCGGAGGAAGGTACTCTATATATTTATCGCAAGTGCACGAACCAATTATAGTATAGGAATGCAAGAACGAGGTCGTTCCACAGGACTTGAAAGAAACTTACTACTACTACTTAGACTCACAAGAAACCTAAGACTAAACAAAATTGAAATGAGGTTGAGTTGAGTTTGTTTGGAGTGAAAACTACTAAAAGGGAATGCAAAATAGCAAGTGACTAGCAAGTAGATGTTTTTAGAAAATTTAGAAATAATGAAACAAGCACTAGGGGTTCAACTTCACCATGACAATCCAATTTCAAGCTACAAGTTAACAATCATCCAAGTTGATTAATTCAATTTATGGAGTTCTTTCTTTCTTATATATGATTATCCATATGGTGTTTGGTTTTAATCACGTACTCAAAATACACAATTTAGCTATGATGTTTAGTTTAAACTATGAATCTGAATCCATTAAGCTTAAGAAGAACACTAAAAAACCAAGTAAACATTTAAACATGGTGTTTGTCCTAAAGCATACCCACTCATTCACTAATCAGTTTAAGAGTCATATGGTGTTTATGTAAACTTGAACTAGATAACCAACATGCATGTGTTAATAGTGGCTAGCTATTTAAACAAGCATAAATATTCAACTAAGAACAAGTGAATGAGACTAGAAAACTAGAAGTAATCAACCAAGAGTAGCATTAACTTGAAAACATGAAACTGTCTTGTCAGGCTACATTGAAACCCTAGCTATGTAATTATTTACAACCCATTAATGGAAAATACATTTGAATCATGATAAAAACATGGAGAAGGTAAGAAAAACTCGTGAAGAACATATTATGTTATTGAAGAGCTCTGCACAGCTTCCACCATGTATGCTTGTAGCCAGAGATGAAGAGTGGTGTGGATGTGTGGATTGTATTTGGGAAATGATGGGAATGTGTTTGGGAAATGATGGAAATGTGCAAGATGGAGTGGTTTATGGGAGAGGTGTATAAGGTTGTGGTTAATGAATGTTTGAGTGAGAATAATGCTGGGATGGGTGACCTGCTAGGAATTGGAAGAGAGGGAATGTGAATCCCAGGATGTGATTGATGATAGTGTTTGGAATGGAAGTGGTATTTATAGGGAGAAAGAAAGGGGACATCTGATTTGAATATGACTTATGCCTACAACACTTGCAATTGAAAATCAATTTCTTGGCTGCTGCACTTCCCACCAGAAACAATAGCTCATGCATAGCTCATCATGACCAAGCATCAATTAGGTCATGCTTAGGTTAGAATGACGAACAACTTCTTGGGCTTACGAATTGGGCTTCTCTTAACCAAATGATGACTTTGAGCCCACCATCTTCAAGTTCAGAATGTCTTCTTTCCAACCACATGTAATTTGGCCCAATCCAAGCTTGGATGAAGAAGATAAGTCCGAAACAAATTTCTAACTCAGTCTCCAATTTTAGCACATTTTTGCACCATTTTGCTTCAAATGCCTCAAGTGGTACCTAGAGCTCAATGAACTGAATAGCAAACACAAAAGAGATTAAAAGCACAAGTTTTACTTTAAAACATAACCAAACAATAGGGTAGAGTGCTACAAAATGATACAGAATTATGCATTGATCAGAAGGTAGGATGGGGGTTGGCTGGGTTGGATCATGGGATGTGGCTAGTGGCAGAAATGGCAGGTCATTTGTTTTTTGTTTTTTTTTGTTTTTCAAAGTGTTAATATTTATTTTCAAAAAAAGTTTAATTTTCTTTTTAATATAATATTATAACTTTTATTTAAAGCCACATGGCTCTATTCTATTGGATTTGTGGTTTCATATATGTGTCACGTCAGCATTTTAACAGAAAATTTGACGGAAGCTAATGAAGGACCATTTTGATGTGCATAGAGTAACCTTAAGGACCATTAGTGTCACAAAAAAATGTTAAGGACGAAAGGCGATAATTTAGCAAACCTCATGGACCATTGGTGATAAAAAGCCTATTTTTTATTCAGCTAACCCAACCCAAGTTTGTTTTGTTTTTAGAGTTTGGAGATGTCAAATATCAAACATTAAATTTGATTTTGATGGTTTATGTGGAAATTTGACATATAATAGATTTTTACATTTCACTGGACATGTCAAATTAAAATATTATTTTATTACATGTTGTTTATTGGTTTATGACAATCTAGGCACATTAATTGAAAAATAATTTTAAAAAATGAAATAACATAACAAGGTCAAACAACCAAAAATAACAGCAAGAGAGAGAAATGCATAAGATCTTTTCATTTTTACATTTGGGTATTCTTGTCATATTGTCATTAACAAGAATATAGGAGCTCCTAATTAGAGAGATAGGAGCAGAGGAAGGTGGAAAGTATTTTCCATCTTTCTTTTATTTGCTGATACATTTGGGTATTTATTCAAGAGAACGATAGCAAAATAAGGTCTTTTCATTTTTTCCATCGTGTGGCTTATGAGCCTTGTTCTAGTAGTGTTGGGCACTTGTAGACTCATCATCAGGATTATAATATCTGTTTAAAAACCACATAGAATCAGCTGTTACTGGATATCCATCTTGATTCCGGTGCCAACCATAGTAAGCATGGGTTTGGTTCTTGATGCCGAAAGTAGCATGGCCAAAACTGGCCTCTCTAAAAGATGAGTAAGCTGGCCTTGGTTCTGTCATACTGCATCACAAGAAAAGGAATTTTTCATAGACTCAGTATGCAGTGCTGACAAATACTTACGAAATTGAACTAGAAAACACCAAATATATCATGCATACTAATATACTTACTTGGTTGCTAAGCCCTCACTATTTCCTCCATCACCAATGGTAATGTAGACCGGTGCGGATTGATCTTTCACGGGAATGCAATTACCATTTACGATGTTGTATGCGACATTGGATATACGATGCTGTGGTATACACAAATCAGTGACTTATCAAGTTCTGACATCTTGAATATTGAGAGTAGATGGAAGATGGTAAAAGGAAAACAAATACAGTGTGCTTTAGTATTAGGTATAGGCATTTCTGCAATGTACTTTTCCTCAGATAGGTTTTCTCGAAAGATTAAAATGTTCGATAAATTGGATCAATATGTTCAATTTAAAAATCTTCTATGTTAGTTCTATGCAGATCACCAAATAACTGGGAAAATATTTGCATTTTTATGGACATGGGTATGTATATGAAGCACTTACAGATCGTTCATAGGCATGGACATGACCAGTAAATACCACGTCAACCTTGTACTTCACAAACGACGGCTCATACATCACTCTCATGGTTTCTCCTTCCATATAGTGTTTGGTGTAGCTATTATAGAATGGTGAATGCATTAAAACAATCAACCATGGTGTCTCACTTCTGTTAACCTTTGGTAGCTCCTCCTCAATCCATCTGTTCTGAGGAGTGTATTTACCTTAAAAAAGGAAATGATATGTAAACGAAATTGTTGAAGCACTTGGCGGTTTAACACAGACATTGCAAATGTGACCTATGTACAGAGTTAAGGAATTGACTGGACATTCTGTGGAGAAAAGGAAATTCTAATCGGTGTACACGATAATCTTGGAAGAAAAATTCTATCATTTTAAAACACAGTCATTACAAAATACTACACGATAATCTTGAGCAATCAGTACTAATGTTCTAAAGAATTTACATGATGACGTCATTTGCAGAGATTAATACAACAATACACTACTGTAAAAACAAGAGATAACAATTTCACGTTTATTGGGGATTCCAACCTTCGAAACCACGCAAAAATTCAGTATAAAGGAGAGCAAAAGAGGAGCTGTGATGTAAAAAATGCAAGGAGCATCCAGAAAAGTTATGCATTTGATATTCAGAAAAGGAAATTTTGAAACTGTATCTTCTGCTGCATATGTGCATAAGCCTTTTGTACGATGTTAATATATTAATCAGAACATATATATATATATAACCTTACCATATGCTGAATAAGAAGATAAGACTATGATGTATGCCGAAGCTCTCTTGATTGAGTACCAAAGGGGGGAGGTACTCCCTGATGCATTGTGTGGGACAGGATACCGGTGAGTGTAAGGTTTAAAAGGTTCAATTTCACCCTGCAACAAAAATTCCAAACTTTCTTTTGGAAAAATACTTCATCCAAATGAGCAACAAATATTGCGTTAAATTTTGTAAAACACTACACACATGCGTATATAAATCATACTGAAGACAGATTATACAAATACAAATGATCTTATATATCGAAGACGAGAAATGGAAAATGAGAGTATAAGCTCACTTTCTAGAGCAAACAAACGTTTTAAGAGATGCTTACAATTTCTGGGGCAAAATCAATATCATGATTCCCTGCAGTCCATATCCAAGGTTGATAAGCAACACTTCTCTCGGTGAATCTTCCCCATGTATCCCACCTGACATTATCATGATTTGGGTGGAGATCTGCATAAGAGAGGTCCCCAACAAACAATACTGCTTGTCCTTTCTGTGGGTTTAATTCATAATGAGTAAGCGTCGCATTCGAATCATAGGTCTGACCCAGATCACCTGAAAATGTACGTACCCAAGTACATTAGAGTTGAACAATTTACATTTCACAAACACAGACAATTGCGTCTCATCGATTACGTAATTCCCAAGTTAAGGAAAACTGTTTCAAATGACAGACTTGCACACCAAGGAACAAGTTTCATAAGATAAAGAACTTTAGTTTGGTTTCACATATCTTTCAACATGAAAGGAAGAGGCTCGTTGCAACCTCTAAGCTAGTCAATATCATGAGATTTCCTTTTGAATCCCAATGCCAAAAGTTGAACGAGATCTAATATGCACATCCTGTTCTATACAAAAAACTCACCTATGAGACCAAATGTATAAGGGACGTCCGGCCCAACTTCAGGAGGAGTAATAAACCAGAACTGCCGCTTAGTGTGGTCAATTCCAACCACATAGTGGTATTTGGTATCGAACTGTACAAGAATTTATAGCATTAGATCACAACACAATTTGTAAATTATACTTGGACTGCATTCTTCATTTCAATCCGAAAATTGCAAAACCGAGTATTACAGTCAGCAAATTCTACAATCAACCTATGCATTTGAAGGAAAAAGAAATGAGGCAAAACATAAGAGCATATCAAGTTTACATTTAAATTGCTGATGATGGTGTGGTGAATGTAACCAGAAGTGTAATTGTAGAATTTATAGGTTGTAACTTCGCCCACAGCCATCTCTTTTATGCCCTTTGCGCTCCAATAAACCACTGTATTGGAACCTGGTTCGTCCACCGTGACCCATGACACAATCACTGCTTTTCCCAGCTGGTCTCCTTGTGTTATATGTACCTTAAATCAAAGATCACATATCAAAATTAAATTAAATCACTTCAAACTACACCTCTTAATCCCAAAAAGAAAAAAAAAGCAAATTATGAAGTAAGCCATAAATTGTCAACAACAAAAAGCCAAATTTAGGGTTTTTACGGTGCGTTTGGATGAGGGAATAAACTTGAGATTTTAATAAAAGTCAGAATTTCTAAAAATTGACATAAACCAATTCTCATGTTTGGATAACAAAACAAAGATATATTTAAAAATTTCGTGTGGGAAAAAAACATGGAATTGGAGATCATAAATCCCAACTTTAAATTCTATCTAAATAGTCATTTCTAAAATTCCCAAAGAAATTGAGTTTGAAAAAAAAGATAACTTTACAAATAAACATTAAATTATGTGTTTAAATCCGTTAACCAAACAAGAAACTTTACAAATTCTAAAACATTAATTTCTGTATTTTTAAATTCCATTGTATTTTTAAATTTCATCATTTATGAATTCCTTAGTACTTTTAAATTCTAAAAAAGAGAACTTTACAAATAAACGTTAAATTCTGTGTATAAATCCGTTACTTTTCCACGTGCAACCTCATTAAAATTTTATCATAGGGCTTTAATGTTGACACATTACATACAAAACCCATACCTCACAATTTTTATTTTATGAAAAGAAAAAAAAAACAATTCACTAATTGAACTAACTTGAGTTAACGTGATCTTTCAAGGGAACTTCACTAATATACCCAAAATATGGGCTGAAATTATAAAAAAATTCTCACATGGAATGCACTTTAGAAACACACCCAAAACTCATTTACTACATAAGAAATTGGTGTTTAAATTCCTATAAATTACGTGACTGTCATTGATCAACTTAAAAAAGAAGCCCAACAAAAAAAAAATTAAATAGCACCCAAAACAAGCCCAGTCCAATTTTATAAAAAAAACCCAAACAATTCATTACAAACAAAACGTCTTGAAAATCGTAGCTTCATTAACATGTCATGTTGATTAATGATTATAATGTTCCACACCTTTACTGTCATGTTGATTAATGACTGTAATGTTCCAGTCTAGGGTAATATCACTGCTAGTTTACTGTCATGTTGATTAATGGTTGTAATGTTCCAATCTAGGGTAATAACATTGCTAGTTTCCTATGACATCCTATTTCTAATACATATCTACCCCTGTAATGTTCCAGTCTAGGGTAATAACATTGCTAGTTTACTGTCATGTTGATTAATGGCTGTAATGTTCCAGTCTAGGGTAATAACACTCCTAGTTTATGTCATGTTGATTAATGCTTGTCATGTTACTATTTCTAATACATGTCTTGCCATAGCACGATATTGTCCGCTTTGGGCCCCCCTCTCTGGCCCTCACGGTTTTGTTTCTGGGAGCTCACGACCAACTTCCCAGTGGGTCACCCATCCTGGGATTGCTCTCGCCCCCAACTCGCTTAACTTCGGAGTTCCTACAACTCCGAAGCCAGTGAGCTCCCAAAAGGCCTCGTGCTAAAATCGATTATCAAAGTTTAAAATACATTTCGAAAATCAACTAAAATCCGAAGAGAAACACATAATTGAAGCAAAAGATCAAAAATCACAAGTCCAAACCAAACGACAACAACGAATATGATGACGACGGCATGGCGAAAGAGGAGTAGAGCTAAGAGCATCTGATCGAGGTTCGTTCAAGGTCTTGAACAATCCGGAAAAAAAATAATCAATAAAAGTAAGATTTTTGAACAAGAAATCGAAGGTGAAATATTAAAAATTGTAGATTAAAGATGAAGGATATAGTTGGACTTGAGACTGAGCTTCAATGGAAGCTCCTCTTGCTTCAACACCAGAGAAAGCACCAGCGAGAAAGGAGAAAATAAATATGATTTGATTTTTTTGGTAGATTTGGTTTTTGGCAGATCTAGGCAGATTTGATTTTTCTCTCTCAAATCCATAGTACAAGGGCAATATAGGTATTTAACACACACAAATAAACTAAAAAACAGCTATTAAATTGAAAAAAATTGACAGTTGTTGATTTTTGGGTTTTTTTTGGGTGTGTCTATAGTTTTTAAATGGTATAGGGTTTCTTTATAAGACTATGTCTAAGATTGGGTATATAACTAAATTTCTAATCTTTTAATTTATTTATTTATTCCAACCTCTATTCCAACCTCATAATCTACTTGCCAATGCCCAAAATTTCATCCTGAAATTATGGTATAAATTTCATATAACAGACCCTGTCTCTCAATATGAAATATGAATCAAAACCTTTGAACCAAAATATCAATTCTTTACAAAAAGAATAGTGAGCACAGTTGGCTGCATCTATTTTTCTTGGAGATAACGAATAGCCTGGAGAAATCTTTACTTCTCTACTAACCAATTATTTTTCTAAAAAAAATTCAAAGAAGTTATGGGTTTTATTTTTTATTTTTATACAAGCGATATTCTACTTTAATGTAATCTAAACTACACATCCACTCTAACTAATTTGGCTAAGCCCATGTCTGCAATTTCTGGATTGTGTTTGTGGAGAACAATTGTCGTGACTAAATTTGTGTTTGTTTCTATGAATAGAGTTTAGTAGAAGAGGACTAAGATAGAGATGTGGAGAAGATAACGGTGTCCTTGGAAGAAAGAGAGAAATTTAAAAAATAAATAATAATAGGGGATAAGAGACACTAACGGATGCAATACGTTAACTCATGTTAGGTTTAGGAATTTTATTTGTTCAAAACAAAAATTGTGAGGGATTTGAGTTTTGTGTGATGTGTCAAATATTATAGTCCTTTAGATTAAATTTTAAGGAGGTGACATGTGTGTGGAAGAAAAGTCAAGCACATCATATCATAGAAAAATCCAAGCAAAGGATCTGAATCCGTCAATTTCAGGGTTTGTTTGACTCGGGTTGAATTCGGGGTTTCAATTTTGGAGTTTGTTGTTTGATTCGGGTTTAATAGGGCCCATGAAACCGGCCCACTCTGCTACATGTTAAATTTCAGAGGTACAGGCTAATTAACGGCCCACTATTAGCAACACCAGTAGATGTGGAGTTTTATCACAAAAGACTTCGGTACTTATATGTTGTAATTTATTTAGTTAAGTTTATACTTTATATTCTTCAACAGAAATAACTACCCTATGCTACAATTGACTGAAAAAAAAACTAAAAGTTGTCTATATTATACTGACAGAGAAATAGAGATCATACTTGTTGAGGTGCGTTATAGCCAGGAGGGACTTTAAAGACATCACTGTCAAGAGGCATGACCTCAGATTTCTCCACTTTCCTCACAAAACTACTTGTCTTGCCTCCATTACACACCACTACCAAGCTCAAAACCAAACCCAACACTACAACAATGGCTGCTGCTACCCTGGAAGAAGTAGATGCAGAAGCTAAGCTCACCAAAACCATCTTGGCCATGTTTTACAGAGGACCCTCAAAACCCACAAATCCACAGACAGCCTGAGCTTAGGCCATGTTTTATAGACTTGAAATGAGTTTCCTAGTAATGAAAAAAAAAGTGATTTTCATAAAATGAGGGGAATATTAAATGGTGGGTGGGATTTGCATTAAGAATTGCGTGTTGCTGGGTAGGATTTGCACCACAAATTGGGTTGTATCCGGGGAACATAATAATGACGGGATGAGGGCAGAGCAGCAGCACATAAATATAAAATGTATTATAGAAGATAAGTTGATGTTAGTTGAATTGAAGTAATATTTCACCTTCTACTTGCATACAGTGCGGTCCATTATTTTTCATCCATTATTATAGAAGACAAGTTGATGTTAGTTGAGTTCAATTGAAGTTTTCTGTTTTTTACTATTTAGAAATGGCTATGTGAAGTTTAATTCAACTAGTTATCAGTTTAGCGATATTTTTCTTCTCACATATCAAAACAGATTTCACACGAGTATTTCGATTGCCGGTGATGAAAAAGAGGTACACATATCAAAACAGAATTCACATACGAATATTTCGATAAACTTCTAATGTATTGGTGACAGATGATTAGTGTGAGAGGAACGTTGCATAGATCTATTATATTATGCTCCCATATTAGTTTGGTAGGGGACCAAATGGTAGAAATATAGAGAGACCAAAAAAACATAAGCATTTATATGAATCAACCTGAAGCCTACCTACATCCACAGAAAATATTGGGTTACTTATTAAGATATACATCTGAATTTATTCTAGAAAACAAGAGCAACAAAATGTTTCTTTCCCCATGATCATGATTGGGAACTTGTAGAATCATCAACAGGATGGTCAAGGATAAGGTACTAGTTTCAGTGGTAGACATTGAGTCTGCATGAGAAATCCGGGAGACTCCACAGAGAATGTATGAGTCAGTGACAATTGATGGTATCTGTTGAAAAACCACATAGAATCGGCTTTTACTGCAACTCCATCATCGTTCTGGTGCCAACCGTAGAAGGCATGAGTTTGGTTCTTGATGTCAAAAATGGCATGACCAAAACTGGCCTCTCTATAAGCTGAGTAAGCTGGCTGTGGCTCCCTCATACTGCACCAGAAAACAAAAAAAATTCATAGGTTAAAGTATGCAATGCTAACAAATAGGAAAGCAGTGAACCATAAATAGATCGTGAGCTTACTTGGTTGCCAAGCCTTCAATATTCCCTCCATCTCCAATGGTAATGTACACCCGCGCATATTGATCTTTAACCGGAGCACTTGCCATTTCAAGGTCATAGGCAATATTCGATACACGTTCCTGTGATATGCACAAATTGCTTATCAGAAAAAGGAAAATAATAGGGATTGATCTGTTTCAAAATCTTTATATCGAGCACCAGATCGTTCGTAGGCATGGACATGATATTGAAAATGGAATTGGCATGGTCGCCTAGTGCCTGCTCGTTTTGGTCATTTTAGAAGCCTATATAGGAAAATAATAGGGATTGATCTGTTTCAAAATCTTTATATCGAGCACCAGATCGTTCGTAGGCATGGACATGATATTGAAAACGGAATTGGCATGGTCGCCTAGTGCCTGCTCGTTTTGGTCATTTTAGAAGCCAATATAATATGACATGACAGCTATTTTTGAGTAAAAGATGAAAAGGGTAAATAGAATAAAGAGGAAGAAACGGTAAGCTGGAATTGGCATGGTCGCCTAGTGCCTGCTCGTTTTGGTCATTTTAGAAGCCTATATAGGAAAATAATAGGGATTGATCTGTTTCAAAATCTTTATATCGAGCACCAGATCGTTCGTAGGCATGGACATGATATTGAAAATGGAATTGGCATGGTCGCCTAGTGCCTGCTCGTTTTGGTCATTTTAGAAGCCAATATAATATGACATGCGCTGGAGTGCGAAACTGGGCTTCAGGGGGCCTTTTGCCTTGGTTAATGCCTAGCGCTGGAAGTGCTCTAAGTAGGAAGGAAAGTGAAGCCCTTCTCCCCCCTTGGGTTTTGTTTTCCTTCTCATGGAAAAGTTTGGGAAAATGAGCCAACATTTTTCATGACCATATTGTCCCTATTAACAATTTAGAATTAGCCAACATTAAATACATATTTTTCATGACCATATTGTCCCTATTAACAATTTAGAATTACAATATAGCATTAAATGCATTATTTTTTAATTTGATTTCATATAGGTATAATTGGAAAATTAAGCAAACTTTGTTTTACATTCCTATACAAACCAAACATGTGAAAGGAAATAAAGTGGTATTTCTTAGTTATTTTCCCAAGGTTACCAAACATGGGAAATGAATCTCCTTTTCCCATCTCTTGGGAAATGACATGGGAAGTGATTTCCTCTAAAATATGTTCTGTGAACCAAACTGGATAGGATTAGAGAGGAAAGTTAGTAGCTGTAGGCATGAAAAAGGGTTTTTGTCTTCTTTTTTTTTCCACTTCTTTCTTCCTTCTTTTTGGTAATTTTGAAATGGAGAAAAGTAAAAAAAGTGAGAAAAGGAAGGGTTCTGCTTTATTTGTTGGGAAGGAAGGAATACATGTGGGTTTTGGATGGGATTATATTAGCATGGTTTACACTAAATTTGTGAAGCTAAATGAACTCTAAAATTAATTTAGTACATTCTATGATCTAAGTACACCATAATATTTAAATCAAAATGTAAAATTAACTAAGTACACCCTATTTTACTACCAAAAATACCCTTGACACACCCTAATACACTATATCATATCTTATTTGCCACGTCATATTTTAATTTCTTCTAAAGTTTTTGTTCTTCACATTAAAAGGAGTCAATTTGAACAAATCTGGGTTTTTATTTGTTCTGCAAATCCCTTTTTTTCTCTCATCTCAATGGGGTTTTGATTTAGTCTTCAAATAACGAATTTGTTCAAACTGGTTCGACTGGGTCTAATAGCTACTACAAACTTGATTCAAATGAAAACTAATTCCCAAATGCCTTCTTATATTTGAACTTTAGATCCAACTAATAACTTCAATGACATGAATAGTTAGATGGTCTTCCACTTTCAAATTTGGTCTCTTAATAATTTCTTTAACCTTCATGTCTAATGGAGGAGTTGTTGGGCAGCGATGGAGGGCTGTTGGTCGGCAAAGGAACGAATATTCAACGACACCTCTTTGAGCCATTGCCAATGCTCGCTACATTGTTCGCCTTCGGCACCAAGTAATATGAAAACTTCTCTAGGTTTGATTAGGGTTGGATATGGTGAGTAGGGTGTACTTATTAAAATTATATTTGTTTGACAATTCAATATATCCTTTTTGGTCATTTTATATTAGGGTAAATTAGTAATTTAATAAATAGTTTGGTAGTAGGTTGTACTCAATTAGTTTTAAGGTTCATTTAGCAGCACTCATTTGACATATGTATTGCATTTTCTTTTGTAATTTTTTGTATAACTTCATTTAAATATTTTTTACAATTATGTATATACTAACTAGATTTATTATTTGTTGAAAAAATAGACCAATAACTTTATTTAAAGTACATTTAAACAGAAAATGGCTCGATTATTGTTTGGGTTATAAAAATTGAAATTTGAAAAATAAAATTATTATTTTATATATAAAGAAAATATTAATTTTTAATATATATTATTAGATTATTGTTTGGGTTATAAAAATTGAAACTTGAAAAATAAAATTATTATTTTATATATAAAGAAAATATTAATTTTTAATATATATTATTAGAGAAAATAAATAGATTTGAATTTAAGATATAAATATAATAATATTATGTAATATTTTTCTCTAAAACAAATATAATTTAATAAATGAGCTTTAAACGGGCCGGTCCATTGGGCCTAATTACCTTGTCCTAGCCTGCCCAAAGATACGAGTTGTGTCATGTCGGGTCTTACTTAAGTGGGCAGTGCTGTGTCAGGCCTTACTTAAGCGGGTCGTGTTCGGGCTGGCCCGGTCCGTTTGACACCTTTGTACACAGCTAGAGCGTTCTTAAAGTCCTTGTTTTCCCTGGCAATCCAAGATGAGCCAGAGCCAGTTGAGGACATTGCACTTGATGCCATTGAAAATGGTCTTTTAAGAAACACTTACATGTGGCCATGGCTACTCCCTCAAATGGTACAGTAATCCGGGATGGGCACTTGTCTAAACTCAATAAGCATGATATCTTCAACAAGAAGATTACATGGCTCGTGGCTCGCCATAGTGAAAATGATGGTAAGAAAAATAGCTGGAAAAGCTTGGAAGGCAAAGGAGAAAGTAAGGACAATCAATAGGGAGAGAGTACGCCTCACAATGCTAGAAAGCAGCAGCGATAAATAGTTATACATATAATATACCTCTTTTCCTGATCATTCATGTGGCCATGGCTACTCCCTCAAATGATACAGTAATCCGGGATGGGCACTTGTCTAAACTCAATAAGCATGATATCTTCAACAAGAAGATTACATGGCTCGTGGCTCGCAGGCCGAAGTGGGTAACCCAAGGTCCAATAGGCTAAAGCCTCGACCGACCCGATGGTTGGGCTCACTCTAAGATTAGGTAGGGCTTGGTCTTAGGATTTGAAACACTTAGCCGGCCAACGACCGGCTCGACTAGGCCTATCTCGGCCAAGGCCGACTTGCCTATGCTTTTTATAAAATAAAAAAAAAGATTTAATTGATGCACTCCGTAACTGTTTTTTTTTTTTTGGTAATATAGGATGGGCACTTATCCAAACTCAGTAAGTATGATATCTTCGACAAGGAGCTCATAATGCTTCTTGACTTCCCCTAGGGTTTTTTCCACCAACTGCCTTGGAACCATTATCCTAATAGTTGGCAGTGTCCTGCCAAACACAGCCAAAGCGTTTTCAAAATCTTTATTTTTCTTGGCAGTCCAATAGGAGCCAGAGCCAGTTGAGCACATTCCTCTTGATGCTATTTAAAATGGTATTTTGAGGAAGAGGAGGAGGGTCTAGAGTGAAAACTGTGGTGAGAAACAAATAGGAAAACTTTGGAAGGCAAAGGAGAGAGTGAGGAGATTAGTCAATAAGGAAGGGGTGTGTTTTGTGTTGATCAGTGCGGGCAATGCCTGTACTTTATAAGGAGGGAGTGGAGGGGTGAGGTGGGGTAGTGTCATGGACGTGGCCTGCTACTAGTATTATGGGCAAGAAGGAAAGGAAATAGATATGGTGCCTTTGCTTTTTTTATTTTGGGTTAAGTAGAAATGTACTAGTAAGTGTTGCTCTTGGTTTATATATATAGGAGCCTAGCTATAATGCTATAGAAACAAACTCTAATTCAGGACATTTGAACTGAACCTGAAAGTGGGAAATTTCTTGATGATTGGTTTAGGGTTCATGAGATTTTAACAAACTAGTCATGAAATTGCATAAATTTCTAGAAAAAAAAATCATTTCTCATTGAAGGGACAAAGCAACAAGGATCGTTACTCATGTAATTTAGGGCAACTAGAACTAGGTTTTGTTTGTTTTATTGTGTAGTAGTAGCTAGCATTAAGCAATATGTGTACAACTACAACACATTACGCACGTGTATGGAGAAGAATCATTTCTCATTGAAGGGACAAAGCAACAAGGATCGTTACTCATGTAATTTAGGGCAACTAGAACTAGGTTATGTTTGTTTTATTGTGTAGTAGTAGCTAGCATTAAGCAATATGTGTACAACTACAACACATTACGCACGTGTATGGAGAAGAAGGGAAAAAACCAATGTAATAAACATGAAAATCAACCAATGGCCATTAGAATTGAAATGTGTAGTTGTTTGCTTGTTGAGGCCTAAGGCGGCCCGGCTTGTTAGGCCCGTCTAGGCCGGACCTGATGGGCGGGCCCATACCAGGCCCTTTGAAATATCAGCGTGGCTCGAAAAATAAAAAAAATTCGTAAAGCCCGGTTCGAGCCAGGATTGAACCCAAAAATTTCAGGCCAAATCCTATTTGGAGAAACATATAGCTAAATTTCAGGCCAAATCCTATTTGGAGAAACATAAAGCTTTATGTCTAGATGTTTTATGCCTACTAAAAAGTACTATGAAACAATGGTTTTTTTGAAGATGTGAACAAACCCTAATGTATAAGCAACCCAAATTGCTTAAATGACATGAAGCTGTGAACAAAGAATTCCATTTACTTAATCGAATGAGTTGTAAGCACATTCTCATGTACCTACAATAAGCGCATGTTGTCTAGATTGAAAGATTCTCCGATCTCACTATGACTATAACATGCTTTGAATTCAATACTTTTCCTCTTCTGTCAAGGGTTTTTTTTTTGGTGTTGGTGGGATACCAATTGCATGTACTCGTTCCTCTTCTAGGTATACCTACATACAACTTTCTGTTTAGATGTTTTATGCATACAAAACAGTACCATGAAACAGTGGTTTTCTTGAAGTTGTGAACAAGCCCTAATGTATAAGCACCTAATTTGCTTCAATGACATGAAGATGTGAACAAATAATTCCCTTTACTTCACCGAATGCGTTGTAAGCACATTCCCATGTAGGGATTATCATTTGGTGTGCGGATCGCGGGCTTAAGTGGGTAGGTCAAGGTCCGATAGGCCAAAGCCCGACCCAGCCCAATGGTTAGGCTTGCACTAAGGTTAAGTAGAACTTGGGCTTAAGATTTGAAACCCTCGGTCCGCCCACGGCTGGGCCCGACTAGGCCCATCTTGGCCCGGCTCGGCCCGTTTACGCCTAGCCTAGCCAGGCCTAGCCCGATCTAAGCCTATGCCTATGCCTTTTATTTAAAATAATGGTTCTTGACTTCCTCAGGGGTTTCTCCACCAACCTCTCCTTGGAGACATTATCCTAGCAGTTGGCAATGTCCTTGTCAAACACGGACATATCATTTTCAAAATCTTTGTTTTGCTTGGTAGTCCAAGACGAGGCAGAGCTAGTTGAGGACATTCCGTTTTTTGTCATTAAAAATGGTATTTTGAGGAGGAGGAGGGGGGTCTAAGTGAAAAGGGTGGTGAGAAACAAATTGGAAAACTTTGGAAGGCAAAGGACATAGTGAGCAGATCAGTCAATAGGGAAGGGGGTGTGTTTTGTACTGATGAGTGCAGGCAATGCCTACTCTGTATAAGGAGGGGTGAGGTGGGGTAGTGCCATGGACGTGGTCCATTGCTATTGTTATGAGAAAGAAAGAAAGAAAGGAAATAGATATGGTGAATCATAGTTTGTGCAAGTAAAATATGTAGTTATTGTTGTAAAGTCAAGAATGTGGAGCCCAAAATGATAGGGTCCACTACTTAATTGATTGAAGAAAATTCTGAAGATACACTGCACATCCACGGGGAGCCAAGAGACCTTCACGAGTCTTCTATTTACCGAATAGTTAGCCAAAGCTTTTCATATAAAACTATGGCTTCATTCTCGTTTGTATTGTGAGAGATACAGAGAAAGACTCAATGAAAATATCAGAAGAATATTTCTATCACTATTTGAATTCTCAATTTCTTGGTGATTGGTTTAAGGTTGATGAGATTTTAACAACTAGTAATGACATTGCATAAATTTTCAAAAAGAAATCATTTTCTGTTGAAGGGACAAAGCTATAAGGATTGTTACTCATGTAATGTAGGGCAGCTGGAACTAGGTTATGTTTGTTTCATTGTGTAGTACTAGCTAGCATTAAGCAATATGCGTACAACTACAACACATTACGCACGTATATAGAGAAGAAGGAAAGGAAACGTAATAAACAGGAAAATCAACCCATGGCCATTAGAATTGAAATGTCTAGTTGTTTCCCAGTTTAGGCCCATGGTGGCTAGGCCTGGCCCATACCAGGCACTTTGAAACCTTGGCGTGGCCCAAGAAAAAAATGTACTTAAAGCCCGTTACGACGCAGGTCCTAACTTTATTTGGAGATACATATAGCTTTCTGTTTAAAGAAACCCCAATGTATAAGCATCCCAATTTGCTTCAATCACATGAGGCTGTGAACAAATAATTCTCTTTACTTCACCGAATGAGTTGTAAGCACATTATCATGCAGGGATCATCATTTGGCTCGTGGCCCGCAGGTTGAAGTGGGTAGCCTGAGGTCCGATGAGCCAAAGTTCAGCCCGGCCCATCCTAGGCCCGTCATTGAAATGTCATTTTGTGGAGGAGGATGAGAGTCTAAAGTGAAAATGGTGGTGAGAAACAAATAGGAAAATTCAGGAAAACTTTTTATGCCTACTAAAAAGTACCATGAAACAATGGTTTCCTTGAAGCTGTGAAGAAAGCCTAATGTATAAGCAACCCAATTTGGCTAAATGACATGAAGCTGTGAACAAAGAACCCTTCACTTCTCCGAATGAGTTGTAAGCACATTCTCATGTAGGGATAATCATCTGGGTCGCGGCTTGCATGCCGGAGTAGGTAGCCCGAGGTTCAATGGGCCAAAGCCTAGCCCGACCTAATAGTTAGGCTCGCTCTAAGGTTGGGTAGGGCTTGGGCTTAGGATTTGAAACCTTCAACCCACCCACAGTTTGGCCTGACTAGGCCTACCCCGGCCAAGCCAGACGTAGGACCGCTTATACTTTTTTATTTTTTATTTAAAGATTTAATTGATGCACTCCCTAACCTCTTTTTTTTTTCCCTGTAATCCGGGATACGCAATGGTCCAGGCTCAATAAGCGTGATATCTTCAACAAGAAGTTCATAATGCTTCTTGACTTCCTCTTGGGTTTTTCTGCCAACTGCCTTGGCAGCATTATCCAAGCGACTGGTAATGTCCCTGTCAAACACAGCCAGAGCGTTTTCAAAATCTTTCTTTTGGTTGGCAGTCCAAGAGCAGCCAGAGCTAGTTGAGGACATACTACTTAATGCCGTTGAAAATGGTATTTTGAGGAGGAGGATAAGGGTCTAGAGTGAAAATGGTGGTGAGAAACAAATAGAAAAACTTTAAGAAAACTTTTTATGTATACTAAAAAGTATCATAATACAGTGGTTTCCTTAAAGTTGTGAAGAAACCCTAACGTATAAGGAAGCCAATTTGATTCAATGACATGAAGATGTGAACAAACAATTCCCTTTACTTCACCGAATGAGTTGTAAGCACATTATCATGCAGGGATCATAATTTGGCTCGCGGCTCACAAGCCGAAGTGGGTATCCCGAGGTCCGATGGTCCAAAGGCCAGGCCTGCCCGATGGTTAGGATTGCTCTACGGTTGGGTAGGGCTTGGGCTTAGGATTTGAAATCCTCGGCCTAACTCGACTAGGCCCACCCCAGCTTGGCCCAGCTTAGGATCACTTGCCTATGCCTTTTTTAAAAAATGATGTAATTGATGCACTCCTTAACGTCATTTTTTTTCTGTAATCTGGGATGGACACTTGTCCACACTTAATAAGCATGATATCTTCAACAATAAGCCCATAATATTTCCTGACTTCTTCTGGGTTTTTCCGCCAACTGCCTTGGCAACATTATCCCGCGGTTGGCAGTGTCCTTGTCAAACACAGCCAGAGCGTCTTCAAAATCTTTGTTTTGCTTGGCAGTCCAAGAGGAGCCAGAGCCAGTTGAGGACATTCGGCTTGATGCCATTGAAAAAGATATTTTGTGGAGAAGGATGAGGGTCTAAAGTGAAAATAGTGGTGAGAAACAAATAGAAAAAATTTAGGAAAACATTTTATGCATACTAAAAAGTACCATGAAACAGTGGTTTCCTTGAAGCTATGAAGAAACCCTAATGTAATGACATGAAGTTCTGAACAAAGAACTCCCTTTACTTCACCGAATGAGTTGTAAGCACATTATCATGCAGGGATCATAATTTGGCTCGCGGCTCACAAGCCGAAGTGGGTATCCCGAGGTCCGATGGTCCAAAGGCCAGCCCTGCCCGATGGTTAGGATTGCTCTACGGTTGGGTAGGGCTTGGGCTTAGGATTTGAAATCCTCGGCCTAACCCGACTAGGCCCACCCCAGCTTGGCCCAGCTTAGGATCGCTTGCCTATGCCTATTTTTAAAAATGATGTAATTGATGCACTCCTTAATGTCATTTTTTTTTTCTGTAATCTGGGATGGACACTTGTCCACACTTAATAAGCATGATATCTTCAACAATAAGCCCATAATGTTTCCTGACTTCTTCTGGGTTTTTCCGCCAACTGCCTTGGCAACATTATCCCGCGGTTGGCAGTGTCCTTGTCAAACACAGCCAGAGCGTCTTCAAAATCTTTGTTTTGCTTGGCAGTCCAAGAGGAGCCAGAGCCAGTTGAGGACATTCGGCTTGATGCCATTGAAAAAGATATTTTGTGGAGAAGGATGAGGGTCTAAAGTGAAAATAGTGGTGAGAAACAAATAGAAAAAATTTAGGAAAACATTTTATGCCTACTAAAAAGTACCATGAAACAGTGGTTTCCTTGAAGCTATGAAGAAACCCTAATGTAATGACATGAAGTTCTGAACAAAGAACTCCCTTTACTTCACCGAATGAGTTGTAAGCACATTATCATGCAGGGATCATAATTTGGCTCGCGGCTCACAAGCCGAAGTGGGTATCCCGAGGTCCGATGGTCCAAAGGCCAGCCCTGCCCGATGGTTAGGATTGCTCTACGGTTGGGTAGGGCTTGGGCTTAGGATTTGAAATCCTCGGCCTAACCCGACTAGGCCCACCCCAGCTTGGCCCAGCTTAGGATCGCTTGCCTATGCCTATTTTTAAAAATGATGTAATTGATGCACTCCTTAATGTCATTTTTTTTTTCTGTAATCTGGGATGGACACTTGTCCACACTTAATAAGCATGATATCTTCAACAATAAGCCCATAATGTTTCCTGACTTCTTCTGGGTTTTTCCGCCAACTGCCTTGGCAACATTATCCCGCGGTTGGCAGTGTCCTTGTCAAACACAGCCAGAGCGTCTTCAAAATCTTTGTTTTGCAAACATAGCAAGAGCGTTTTCAAAACCTTTGTTTTGCTTGGCTGTCCAAGAGCAGCCAGAGGCAATTGAGGACATTCTCCTTGATGCCATTGAAAATGGTATTTTGAGGAGGAGGAGGAAGGTCTAGAGTGACAAAAAACTAGTCATGACATTGCATAAATTTCCAGAAAAAAAAAAAAAAACATTTTCTATTAAAGGAACAAAGGTATAAGGATTGTTACTCATGTACAGGGTAGCTGGAACTAGGTTATGTTCGTTTTATTACGTAGTACTAGCTTTCATTAAGCAATATGTGTAGAACTACCTCACATTACGTATGTATATAGAGAAGAAGAAAAAAAAAAGTAATAAACAAGAAAATCAACCCGTGGCCATAAGAATTGAAATTTGTAGTTGTTTACTAGTTTAGGCCCATGGCGGCCAGGCCCGTCTAGGGCTGGCTCGATGGGCAAGCCCGGACCAAGCACTTTGAAACCTCATAGCGGCCCAAAAAATAAAACAAAAATTCTTAAAGCTCGTTACGAGTGAGGCCCTAACCCTAAAATTTCAGGCCAAACCCTATTTGGAGATACATATAGCTTCCGGTTTAGATGTTTTATGCCTACTAAAAAGTTCCATGAAACAGTGGTTTCCTTGAAGCTCTGAACAAACTGTAATGTATAAAGCAACCCAATTTGCTTCAATGACATGAAGCTATGAACAAAGAATTCCTTTACTTCACCGAATGAGTTGTAAGCACATTCTCATGTATCTACAATAAGCATATGTTACACAAAGTCAAAGATTCTTCGATCTCAATATAACTAAAGCATGCTTTGAATTCCATCTTTTTCCTATTCTGTTAGGGTTTTTTTTTTTTAGTGTTTGGTTCGTCCCTTTATAAGGTACACCTACATTAAGCTTTCTGTTTAGATGTTTTATGCATCCTAAAAAGTACCATGAAATAATAGTTTCCTTGAAGCTGTGAACAAACCCTAATGTATAAGCAACTCAATTTGCTATAATGACATGAAACTGAGAACAAAGAATTCCTTTTACTTCACTGATTGAGTTGTAAGCACATTATAATGCAGGCACTCCCTAACCTCCCCCCTTTTTTTTTTCTCTATAATCCACGATGGGCACTTGTCAAGACTCAATAAGCATGATATCTTCAACAAGAAGCTCATAATGCTTCTTGACTTCCTTTGGATTTTTCGACCAACCACCTTGGCAACATTATCCAAGCGGTTGGCAGTGTCCTTATCAAATACAGGTAGAGCGTTTTCAAAATCTTTGTTTTGCTTGGTAGTTCAAGAGGCCAAAGCCAATTGAGGAAATTCTTATTGATGTGTTGTAAGAACATTCGCATATAGGGATCATCATTTGGCTCGTGGCCTGTGGGCTTAAGTTGGTAGGCCGAGGTTGGATAGGCCAAAGCCCGGCATGGCCCGATGGATATGCTCACTCTAAGGTTATGTAGGGCTTGGGCATAGGATTTGAAACCCTTGGTCCACCCTCGGCCTGGCCTAGCGCAACAAAGTCTTGCTTGGCCCGACTAAACCCGAATAGGCCCAGCCCAGCCGGGCCTAAGCCCGCTTGCCTGAGCTCGCTTGCCTAAGCCTCTTTTTAAAATATTTAATTGATGCAGCCCTAACCTCTTTTTTTTTTTTTTTTCTTTCTATAATCCGAGATAGGCACTTGTCCAAACTCAATAAGCATAATATCTTCAACAAGAAGCTCATAACGCTTCTTGACTTCCTTTAGGGTTTTTCCGCCAACCACCATGGCAATATTATCCTAGTAGTTGGCATTGTCCTTGTCAAACACAGCGAGAGTGTTTTCAAAATATTTGTTTTGCTTCGCAGTCCAAGAGCAGCCAAAGCCAGTTGAGGACACTCTGCTTGATGCCATTGAAAATGGTATTTTGAGTTGGAGGATGAGGGTCTAAAGTGAAAATGGTGGTAAGAAACAAATAGGAAGAGTTAGGAAAAATTTTGATACTCTCGACCCGCCAACGATCTAGCCCGACTAGGACCTACCCGACCCAACTCGGCTCGTCCTAAGACCGCTTGCCTATGCCCTTTTTTAAATATTTAATTGATGCATTCCCTAACTTTAATTTTTTTCTGTAATCCGGGGTGGACACTTGTCCAAATGCAATGAGCATGATATCTTCAACAAGAAGCTCATAATGCTTCTTGACTTCCTTTGGATTTTTCCGCCAATCGCCTTGGCAACATTATCCCAGTAGTTGGCGTAGTCCTCATCAAACATAGGTAGAGAGTTTTCAAAATCTTTGTTTTGCTTGGTAGTTCAAGAGGCCAAAGCCAATTGAGGAAATTCTGATTGATGCGTTGTAAGCACATTCTCATATAGGGATCATCATTTGGCTCGTGGCCCACGGGCTTAAGTGGGTAGGCCGAGGTTGGATAGGCCAAGCCTGGCACGGCCCGATGGTTAGGCTCGCTCAAAGGTTAGGTAGGGCTTGGGCATAGGACTTGAAACCCTCGGTCAGCCCATGGCCCGGACCAACGCAACAAAGTCTTGCTTGGCCCAACTAGGCCCGAATAGGCCTAGCCTAGCCGCGCCTAAGTTTGCTTGCCTAAGCCATTTTTTTAAATACTTAATTGATGCAGTCCCAAACCTAATTTTTTTTTCCTGTAATCCGAGATGAGCACTTGTCAAGACTCAATAAGCATGATATCTTCAACAAGAAGCTCATAATGCTTCTTGACTTCCTTTGGATTTTTCCGCCAACCGCATTGGCAACATTATCCCAACGATTGGTAGTGTCCTTGTCAAACACAGCCAGAGCATTTTCAAAATCTTTGTTTTGCTTGGCAGTCCAAGAGGACCCAGAGGTAGTTGAGGACATTCGGCTTGATGTTGTTGAAAACGGTAGTATGTGGAGGAGGATGAGGGTCTAAAGTGAAAATGGTGGTGAGACACAAATAGAAAAAGTGAAGAAAACTTTTGATACTCTCGGCCCGCCAATGGTCTAGCCCGACTAGGACCTTCCCGGCCCGACTTGTCCTAAGACTGCTTGCTTATGCCTTTTTTTAAAGATTTAATTGATGCACTCCCCAACATTAATTTTTTCTGTAATCCGAGATGGACACTTGGCCAAACGCAATAAGCATGATATCTTCAACAAGAAGCTTGATCGGTTCATAATTGTATATTATTTCTTACCCTTCTAGCTTATGATTTGGTTATGTTTTTGAGTTAAACTTGTGCTTTTAATCCTTTTTGTGTTTATCTTTCAGTTAATTGAGCTTTAGGTAACAATGATGGCTTTGGAGAACATAATTCATGCAATTCAAGCATGTTAAGGCCTAATTTGGATGAATCTTGGCCCGCAGGTGTAAGTGGGTAGGCCGAGGTCTGATAGGCCAAAGCCCGGCACGGCTTGATAATTAAGCTCACTCTAAGGTTAGGTAGGGCTTGGGCAAAGGATTTGAAACCCTCGGTTCATCCACAGCCCGGACCAGCGCGACAAAGTCATGCTTGGCCCGAATAGGCCCAGCCCAGCCCAGCCTACGCCCGCTTGCCTAAGCCTTTTATAAAAAAATATATTTAATTGATGCACTACCTAACCTCAAATTTTTTTTTTTGTAATCCGAGACGGGCACTTGTCAAGACTTAAAAAGCATGATATCTTCAACAAGAAGCATCAAGACTCAAAAAGCATGATATCTTCAACAAGAAGCTCATAATGCTTCTTCACTTTTCTGCGGTTTTGCACCAACCGCCTTGGCAACATTATCCCAACAGTTGGTAGTATCCTTGTAAAATACAGCCAATGTGTTTTCAAAAACTTTATTTTACTTGACAATCTAATAGCAGCCACAGCCAATTGAGGACATTCTGCTTGATGTCGTTGAAAATGGTATTTTGAGGAGGAGGATGAGGGTCTAGAGTGAAAATGGCAGTGAAAAACAAATAGGAAAACTTTTTATGCCTACCAAAAGTGCTATGAAACTTTTGTTTCCTTGAAGCTATGAAGAAACCCTAATGTATAAGCAACACAATTTGCTTTAATGACATGATATCTTCAACAAGAAGGTCATAATATTTCTTGACTTCCTCTAGGGTTTTTCTACCAACCGACAAAATTATCCTAGCGGTTGGCAGTGTCCTTGTCAAACACAGCTAGAGCGTTATCAAAATCTTTGTTTTGCTTGGTAGACAAAGATGCCAAAGCCAATTGATGAAATTTTGATTGATGGGTTGTATGCACATTCTCATGTAGGGATCATCATTTGGCTCTTGGCCCGCAGGTGTAAGTGGGTAGGCCGAGGTCTGATAGGCCAAAGCCCGGCACGGCTTGATAATTAAGCTCACTCTAAGGTTAGGTAGGGCTTGGGCAAAGGATTTGAAACCCTCGGTTCATCCACAGCCCGGACCAGCGCGACAAAGTCATGCTTGGCCCGAATAGGCCCAGCCCAGCCCAGCCTACGCCCGCTTGCCTAAGCCTTTTATAAAAAAATATATTTAATTGATGCACTACCTAACCTCAAATTTTTTTTTTTGTAATCCGAGACGGGCACTTGTCAAGACTTAAAAAGCATGATATCTTCAACAAGAAGCATCAAGACTCAAAAAGCATGATATCTTCAACAAGAAGCTCATAATGCTTCTTGACTTCCTTTGGATTTTTCCGCCAACCGCATTGGCAACATTATCCCAACGATTGGTAGTGTCCTTGTCAAACACAGCCAGAGCGTTTTCAAAATCTTTGTTTTACATGGCCGTCCAAGAGGAGCCAGAGGTAGTTGAAGACATTCGGCTTGATGCCATTGAAAATGGTATTATATGTGGAGGAGGATGAGGGTCTAAAGTGAAAATGGTGGCGAGAAACAAATAGGAAAAGTTAGGAAAACTTTTGACTGCCTGCCTAGGCCCGTCCTAAGACTGCCTGCCTATGCTCATTTTTAAAGATTTAATTGATGCACTTCCTAACTTTACTTTTTTTGTACTCCGGGATGGACACTTGGCCAAACGCAATAAGCATGATATCTTCAACAAAAAGCTCATAATGCATCTTGACTTCTTCTGCATTTTTCCGCCAACCGCCTTGGCAACAATATCCCAACAGTTGGTAGTGTCCTTGTAAAATACACCAATGCGTTTTCAAAATATTTATTTGCTTGACAGTCTAAGAGCAGCCAGAGCCAGTTGAGGACATTCTACTTGATGCCGTTGAAAATGGTATTTTGAGGAGGAGGATGAGGGTCTAGAGTGAAATGGCAGTGAGAAACAAATAGGAAATTTTTTTATGCCTACTAAAAAGTACCATGAAACAATGGTTTCCTTGAAGCTGCGATGAAACCCTAATGTATAAGCAACACAATTTGCTTCAATGACATGATATCTTCAATAAGAAGGTCATAATATTTCTTGACTTCCTCTGGGGTTTTTCTGCCAACCGACTTGGCAACGTTATCCCAGCGATTGGCAGTGTCCTTGTCAAACTATGCTAGAGCGTTTTCAAAATCTTTGTTTTGCTTGGTAGTCTAAGAGACCAAAGCCAATTAAGGAAATTCTGATTGATGCATTGTAAGCACATTCTCATGTAGGGCGATTTTAACAAATTTGCAGATGCCAAGTTAACAAATTAGACAGTCAGAAAAGAACATGTTTTACACTCTTTGAATTTTCATATGGTATACTGCATATATGTACAGGTGCCTTGAGAGCCAGTCATGTAAATACAGGGAAAAAATTGTACCATAAGCTGTATATGCTGAGCTCTCTTGATGGAGTTAAAAAAGGGGGCAGGGCTCCCTGATGCTTTGTGTGGGACATTATACCGGTGAGTGTAAGGCTTGAAGGGTTTGTATTCACCCTGCAACAAAAAGTACCAATCTTCTCTTAGAAAACACTTTTCCAATGACATTGTGGAACTAGAATTTCACCTCGAGAGATGGAAAATGAGAGCATCTCCACTTTCCTCACAAAACTACTGCCAAGCTCAAAACCAAACCCAACACTACAACAATGGCTGCTACCCTGGAAGAAGTAGATGCAGAAGCTAAGCTCACCAAACCCATCTTGGCCATTTTTGCATGGGACCCTCAAAACCTACAAACCACAGACAGCGTACTGATCTTAGGACAGGCATTTCCTTTTTATAGACTTGAAATGAGTTTACTAGTAAAGAAAAAAAAATATTTTCATTAAATGAGGGGAATATTAAATGATGGGTGGGATTTGCATTAAGAATTGCGTGTTGCTCTGGGAATTAGAAGCACCGCAAATTGGGTTGCATCTGGGGAACATAATAACGATGGGACTTGACTTTGGAATTTCTGAATAGTTCATTGTCTGTAGTTGACAGGACAAGCAACTTTAAGTAATTTCCATTTTTTTGTAGGAGACATATTGATGTACTCTTGATACAAGAAATTTTAGGGAGGGAGAAATCGAACTTAAAAACATGGTGGAGTAATACATACTCTGCTAGAAATAGTTATCCAAAGTGCAATACAAGTGACCAACAAGTCATCGATTTAAGGATATCTCTCTTATCAACATCAAAACAGATCACACATAGATCCTTGGTGATTTATAAATGGTAGAAATAGAGAGACGAACCAAACATAGCCTACCAACATCCACAGAAAATATTGACTAACTTAAATAAGATACACATCTGAATTTATTCTAGAAAACAAGAGCAATTTTTTTTTTTCTTTTCCCATGATCATGATTGGGAACTTGTAGAATCATCAACAGGATGATGGTATCTGTTGAAAAACCACATAGAATCGGCTTTCACTGCAACTCCATCGTCGTTCCGGTGCCAACTGTAGAAGGCATGAGTTCGGTTCTTGATGTCGAAAATGGCATGACCAAAACTGGCCTCTCTATAAGCTGAGTAATCTGGCTGTGGCTCCCTCATACTGCACAAGAAAACAAAAAACATTCATAGATTAAAGTACGCAATGCTAACAAATAGGAAAGCATTGAACCCTAAAAGATCATGTACTTACTTGGTTGCCAAGCCTTCAATATTTCCTCCATCTCCAATGGTAATGTACACCGGCGCAGATTGATCTTTCACCACCGGAGAGCACTTTCCATTTTCAATATTATAGGCAATATTCGATACACGTTCCTGTGATACACACAAATTGCTTATCAGAAAAAGGAAGAAGAATACAGTTTTCTTGATATCAGCATTTCAGTCAAACACTTCTCCTCAAAAGGGTTTCATGTACTAATTTGTCAAAAATTAAAGCGTTCCATAAAAGGGATTAATCTGTTTCAAAAAGTTTATTTTGAGCACTTACAGATCGTTCGTAGGCATGGACATGACCAGCAAAGACTACGTCAACCTTGTGCTGCACGAACCACGACTCAAACATGACTCTCATGCTCTCTCCTTCCATGTAATGATAGTTGTAGCTGTTGTACCATGGGGAATGCAGTAAGACAATCAACCATGGTGTCTCACTCCTATTAACTTTTGGTAGCTCCTGCTCAAGCCATTGGTACTGAGGAGTGGTTAACTTTTGGTAGCTCCTGCTCAAGCCATTGGTACTGAGGAGTGTATGTACCTTGAGAACAAGGAAATGATATGTTAAATGAGACTGTTGCAGCAGCCAATTTAACAAAGACATTAATGTACAGAAGATTTCACTAACAAGTTAGAATTGATTGGATGTTACATGGACAGAAGAAGTTTCAGCTCAGTTTTCAAGATAATTTGGAAGCAAAAAGTCTCCAATCATTTAAAACAAAGTCATTAGAAAATATGACAAGGATATCATTTCCATATAATGTGAAAGTAATTTATATGATGTAATCTGCAGAGATGAACAAAGTTTGATTTACAGTATAACAATCACTCACATGCCATGAAAGCAACAACTAAGTATTTCAAATTGAGGGGGAAAAAAGCATAAACAGGAATTGATTTAACAAATGCAGCAAGTATGTCATCGCCAAATTACTTCACAGACGGCAATTTTAACAAATTTGCAGATGCCAAGTTAACATATTTTACACTCCTAGAATTTTCATATGGTATACTGGATTTGTGTGTAGGTGCTTGAGAGCCAGTCATGTAAATACAGTAGGGAAAAAAATGTACCATAAGCTGTATATGAAGACAAGACTATGATGTATGCTGAAGCTCTCTTGATTGAGTAAAAGAAAGGGGCAGGGCTCCCTGATGCTTTGTGTGGGACATTATACCTGTGAGTGTACGGCTTGAAAGGTTTGTATTCACCCTGCAACAAAAAGTACCAATCTTCTCTTAGAAAACACTTTTCCAATGACATTTTGGAACTAGAATTCACCTCTCTAGATATGGAAAATGAGAGCTTAAGATTAGCTATGAAATGCTTACAATTTCTGGAGCATAATCAATCTCATGGTTCCCTGCAGTCCAAATCCAAGGTTGATAAGCAGCACTTCTCTCAATGAATCTTCCAAATGTATCCCACTTAACATTGTCATGATTGGGATGATTATCTGCATAAGAGAGGTCTCCAAGGTTCAAAACTGTTTGTCCTTTAAGTGGGTTTTCTTCATAGTGAGTAAGTGTCAAGTTTGAATCAAAGGTTTGGCCCAAATCCCCTGCAAATGAGAGCCAAATGGTAAGTCAAATTTATAAGTAGTCAAATAGCCAATTTGCCTTGTAAATGAATCAAAAGCATGAAATTAGTTTTGGATCACAATGCTAAAAGTTAACCATTCTGTTTTGGTTATTAAATAAATAAATTACTTACCCATGAGACCAAATGTGTAAGGGACATCTGGCCCAACTTCAGGAGGAGTTACAAACCAGAACAACCTCTCAGTGTGCCCAATTCCAACCACATAGTAATATTTGGTATTGTACTGCCCAGAATTATATATTATTAGTTCATAATTTCAGTCAACAAATTATTTATAGAACAAAAAATGTTGGCGTGACTTGTGGACTATTGACTTACTTTACACACTAAGAATTCCTATTATAATTGTAATTGATTTACTCTAATTCTTGATTTCCTATTGTAAATATAAATATGAATTTATTATTTACTTGCCCATTCAGGTTTCGTTGTATTATAAATATGGCCTCCTACAAGGAGAAGAATACACAGAAAATTCCCACAAACAAATATTCTCTCATAGTTCTCATATTTTAGCATGGTATCAGAGCGGCGATCTTGGGATTGCTGACTCTAGTTTCTAAACTCTAGCCTCCACCATGAGCAACTAAATTGTTGTGCATTGATTTATCCCAATTTTTGTTTACTATATGATATTCTCACCAAGGTGATCATTGGGGGTGGTACTAAAAGAGGGGGGTTGTACTATGTGGATGACTTCAGTATGGGACATGCTAACAGTGTTAAGCATCCGGCTGATGACAAGCACCAACAGATTTGGCTCTAGCACCAACGTTTGGGGCATCCATCTTTTGGTTATATGAGACACTTATTACCCGAGTTATTTTCTGTATTTAAGGACTCATATTTTAAATGTGACACTTGCATTTTAGCCAAGAGTCACAGAGCATCCTATCCTTAAAGTTTGAATAAAAGTACTATTCCTTTTGCTTTAATTCATTCTTATGTTTGGGGATCATCACCTATTTCTACTCATTCCTGTATTCGTTGGTTTGTCACATTCGTAGATGATTGTACACGGATGACATGGCTTTATTTGATGAAAAATAAGAATGAAGTGTTTTCCTTGTTCCAATTCTTTCACAAACAGATGGAAACACAATTCAATGCTCGAATACAGATTCTTCGCTCAAACATCGATGGAGAATTTATTAATCATGACTTTCAGACTTACTTCCAGACACATGGCATTACTCATGAGACAACTTGCCCCCAAACGCCACAACAAAATGGTGTTGCCGAATGGAAGAATCGTCATCTATGAAACAGCCCGTGCTCTTCTCATCGGTGGCGATGTTCCTCGTCATCATTGGGATGATGATGTCGTCACTGCTATCCACCTTATCAACTGCATGCCTTCTGGGGTCTTGAATTTCAAAACTCCATTACAAGTGCTCGTGCAACACAGGCCTTTGCCCTCTGTTTTGGTGCTTACCCCTCGCATTTTTGGCTGTGTGGCCTTTGTTCATCTCCACAAAAATACCCGAAGCAAACTTGATCCATGTGCGCTTCGTTGTTTTTTTTTTGTTTATGCCCCTCATCAGAAAGGCTACCGATGTTATCACCCTCCTACCTGGCGAACCTATGTCACTTTGGATGTCACCTTTCTGGAATCAGAGATGTTCTTCTATAATCCCGCATCTAATTCTACTCTTTAGGGGGAGATATGGAGTGAAGAGCCCAATTGGAGCAGCTTGGAAAACGAAGATATTCATCTCTACACGAAGATTTCTCTCGGCCAAGAAAAATAACAATCGATCGTCCCGAGTCTGGCATGCGCTAATGCTCTTTGCCAAACAACGATCGATCGCCTAACCTTTACGAAGCTGTTTTTTATTCCAGTCATACTCCTACAGACAACTCAAAACAACAAGATGAAGACCCCCCCTCTCACTCAACAGTACCAACGGACCAATCTCCTGAGAATATCTTTGAGGTAACTACTCTTACTAGACGTGTGCATTTAGAGGATAAATCTATTGGATATCAATTACTTTTTAGGCAAAATCGTGGGAAGCCAATAAACCGTTATTCACCTGATATTGGCAAGACATCCAAGTATCCAATTGCAAATCATGTATCCACTGAGAAGCTGTCTGAACCACTCAAGGCTTTTGTGCATCAGTTGTCTGCTATCCATATTCCAACCAAGGTTTCTGAAGCATTGAAAGATCCTAAGTGGGTCCAAGCCATAAAAGAAGAGATGAAAGCTCTTAAGAAAAATCAAACTTGGACATTAGAGACTATACCACGAGGAAAAAAGACTGTTGGATGTAGATGGATTTTTACTATAAAATACAATGCAGATGGATCTATCCAGCGATATAAGGCAAGACTTGTGGCAAAAGGGTACACACAGACCTATGGTATAGACTATGAAGAAACCTTTGCACCAGTTGCAAAGTTGAACACCGTCAAAGTCTTATTCCCTTGCAGCTAATTTGGATTGGTAAAAAATGCTTTTCTACATGGCAAACTCACGGAGGAGGTGTACATGGACATTCCTCCTGGATATATATAATACTACTCAGACTGGAACAGTATGTAGGTTACGAAAAACATTGTATGGATTAAAACAGTCACCACGTGCATGGTTTGGACAGTTCACCATGGCAATGAAGAACAATGGTTTCAAACAGAGCAACTCAAATCAGAAAGGGAAGGTAACAACGTTAATAATCTACGTTGATGATCTGATTATTACTGGGAATGATAAACAAGAAATATCACAGCTACAAGACTATTTGGCTACTGAGTTTGAGATGAAGGATCTAGGTGGACTCAAGTATTTCTTGGGAATTGAGGTGGCTCGATCGCAGCAAGGCATATTTCTCTTTCAAAGGAAATATGTCTTGGACTTGTTGACAGACACAGGAATGCTAGATTGCAAACCTGCGAACACTCCTATTGTTCAAAATCATCATCTTGGAAAATATCCAGATCAAGTTCCAACTAACAAAGAAAGATACCAAAGGTTAGTGGGAAGATTGATTTATTTGTCACATACTGGACCAGACATTGCCTATTCGGTGAGCGTTGTCAGCCAATTTATGCACTCTCCAAGTGAAGACCACATGAGTACAGTTCTTCGGATACTTAGATATTTGAAGTCTGAACCTGGAAAAGGACTTATGTTCTCAAAGCATGGTCATCTGAATATTGATGGTTATTCATATGCAGATTGGGCAGGTAGTGTAACAGATAGAAAATCCACATCAGGTTACTTCACATTTGTGGGAGGTAATTTGGTGACATGGAGGAGCAAAAAACATAATTTAGTAGCTTTATCTAGTGCACAAGCCAAGTTCAGAGGCATGACTAAAGGGATTTGTGAACTTATTTGGTTAAGAAAGTTCCTTACTGAACTTGGGTATAAACCTACATCCACAATGAATCTCTTTGGTGACAACAAGTCTACTATAGCTATTGCACATAATCCGGTTCAGCATGATCATACTAAACATGTTGAGGTGGATCGACACTTCATCAAACAAAAGCTTGAGGCTAAAGTGTTTCAATTTCCTTTTGTGAAATCCGATGATCAATTGGCGAATATTTTGACAAAGGCGATTTCCAGTAAAGCATTCCACAATTCACTGGATCAGTTGGGCATTGGCGACATCTATGCACCAATGTGAGGGGGAGTGTTGGCGACTTGTGGACTATTGACTTACTTTCCTTACACACCAAGAATTCCTATTATAATTGTAAATTGATTTACTTTAATTTCTGATTTCCTACTGTAAATATAAATAGGAATTTATTATGTACTTGCCCATTCAGGTTTCCTTGTATTATAAATATGACCTCTTAAGGGTAAGAATACACAGAAAATTCCCACAAATAAATATTCTCTCATAGTTCTCATATGTTAGCAAAAAAAACAAAGAAAAAGAGGAAAAACAGAAAGGCAGATTGAAATTTACCTCTAAGTTTCTGATGGTACAGTGGTGAATGTAACCAGAAGTGTAATCATGGTATGTATAGGTTTTAGCTTTGCCTTCAGCCATCCTTTTCTTTTGACCTTCACTCCAGAAAAGCACTTTGCTGGAGCCTTTTTCATCCACAGAGACCCATGACACAATCATGGCCTTTCCCTTGTGGTCTCCTTGTGTTATATGAACCTTGGATCAAGAACACACACACATATCATACAATTAAACAAAATTAAGCTAAAAAATCATACCAATAAATGAATTCCATCAAGAAGAAAAACCAAAGTGTGAAGCAAGCCATAAATCTTGAAAAACAAGACCACATAAAAATATGAAGGTTTCAAGTAAATAAGAGGTCTCTCTCCTATACGACAATGATCACATGTCTCATACACGTATAGGCTAGACTCGATGATATCATCAGATAATGTGGTACAAATAAGTCGCATCATTAAGCTACAACTGACTAGAGATAGAGAGAGATACATATATACTTGTTGAGGTGCATTATAGCCATGAGGGACTTCAAAGGCATCACTTTCATAAGGCATATCAACAGTCTTCTCAGCTTTCCTCACAAAAGGGCTTGTTATACCTCCATTGCCAACCACAGCCAAGTTCAAAACCAAACCCAAAACTACAAAACTAGCTACCCTTGAAGAAGTAGAAGCAGACGCTAAGCTCACCACACCCATCTTGGTCATATTATTACTCAAGGCACCCTCAAACCCTACAAAAAATTCCATTGCGCTCAGCAAAATCATTCTCTTTTTATAGACACACAAAAATTAATTTAATTTAAATAAAGAAAATCTAAAGTTTATCAGGAAATATGGGGAATATTATTCAGAGCTGTATAGGAATATGCACGTTTCTAAGGCTAAAGGGATTTGGATTTGCATGGTTTTCTATTTATTTTTAACATGTGTACTTATTCTTCTGGGAATTTTAGTTGAGTTGTGTTTCTTTGGGATCGGAAATAGTGATTGTATACAGTTGGACTTGGGAGTTCTGTATGAATGAAACGTATCTATTCTTGGATTGGAGCAATCAAAATATAACAATAGCTGGTTTGCCATAGGAGAGGGGTTGAGATTTGATTAAACAAAAAGAAAAAAGAAGTAATCTGTATATGAACCTAGATGTAATGGATGCCTACCATAGCATATTATACCATACCAAGAATTACCTACCATGACTCACCTGAATGACTCATCATCGTAATTATACAATATTAGTAAATAGTGTAATCCATATGCCTATAAATACAAGGCATCAACTATGAATGGAGAACAAGAATAGAAAAGATGAAGCTCACGGTGGAGCTCTTGATAATCATTGTTTTCTTCCTCTAAATTCTCTCCAAATTTTTCCTAGTTTTATAACACGTTATCAGCACAAATATCTCTCAAATACCAACTGAATTTTTCGATCAAACCCCTCTGCTTCATTACCTTTCTATCTCAAGCTTTAGCTACTAACCTCTGCAACTATAAATATCTTCTCTAAAACATATCTACAGACATACCAGAGAAGGAAGGGTTAAAAGAAAATAGACTAACCAAACCAGAAAAACAAGAGAGCTTGGAGAGCGGAGAAAAAGTTGTCGTTTGGAGATGGAGTGGTGTCAAGGTCCGACGAGTATTTGGCTCTATAGAAGGCTACGGCAGAAAACAACTAAAAGGAACTGTTGGTGACTAGTTAAGAGATAAGCCGCCAACAGGGTCTAGCCGAGTGGGAAAGGGCCTTGACTTACAGATTAGAGGTCTCAGGTTTGAACCCTCATGGCATCATAGTTGTGTGTATGTGAGAAATCCTCCTCCCCTGTAATTTAGACTACTTTTATACTAAAAAATGAAAAAAGATAAGCCCACTGTCTTTCTTTTGTCTTGATAATATAATTTATGCTATTCAATACTCTTACTGACCATCCAAAGTGAAGTGCATTGAAGTTTGTATATGGCAGGTGAAAAACAATTTTGTGTAGGGGACAAACGTGATATTCTCTAGTAGATTAGCACTAAGGATTTTCAAAAACAATTTTGTGTGGGGGACAAACGTGATATTCTCTAGTAGATTAGCACTAAGGATTTTCTCTACTTTTCTAATTACATATATTAGTATAATAATATTATATTATTTCCTCTTGGTGTTGAGAAGAAAGAACCCACCGAAAACAAAGGGTGTTAAAGCTGTAGAAAGTCATACTTCTATATATATATATATATATATATGCATGTATCTTTCTTTCTTGGCTTAATTATGTACATGCCCCCTGTGCTTTTCAACTTGTCTCAGATTACCATCTGTGTCTGCAAATGTCTCAAAATACCCCCCAACGTTTAAAAAAGGGTCTCAAAAGTTACCCGTTCCGTCAATATTTTTGATGTTCCGTTACAAACTTTGGGCCCCACTTCGTTTTAATCTTTAACCTCTTCGAATAAGGGTTTTTCACTTTCAGATGAGAGAAAAGAAGAGAGGAAATAAGGTATTTGGGTGAGAAGGGAGAATTTGGAGAAGGAGGCTAGGGCTTATCAAAATCTGTGGTGGGGTTCGAATTTTGGGAGAATCTGGAGAAGAAATCACGGGTTGATAAAACTCTGAGGTGGAGTTCGAAATTGGGAGATTTTGGAGTAGAAGATTAGGGTTTATGAATCTCTTAGTGGAGTTCGGATTTGGGAAAGGGGCAAGGGGGTCGCATGATTTGGGAGAAAAGGGGGAAGTGGGTCGCACGATTTTGGAGGTTTAGCTGGTTGTTCTCTATGTGAATACACACTGAATTGAAGAATAGATGGAAACATGAGAAGCAAGGCATGCCCAATGGTGTGATTGTGGGAAGTTAGCACGGATGCAGACTTCGTGGACCAGTTCAAACCCAGGCGAAGATTTCTAGTCTGCCCAAAGTCAAAGGTAAGAATGTTTAAGATCAAATTTTCAGTCATTGTTTTGGGCATCACAAATTGATAGAGTTCTTATTGATGAAATATTCAGTCATTGATCAAATGGATCAAGTTTTCAGTTATTGTTCTTGGTTGATACAGGGAAGTGGTGAAAAAGGATGTAGGTTTTTTCAGTGGTTTGATGCAGAAATGTGTGAGCGTTCAAAGTCTTTGATACCTAGTTTGCTGAGGAAGATTGATAGGGTGGAGAAGGAAAATGCAAAGATTCGAGCAAAGTCAAAAATATTGTGGGCTACTATGTTGCTTTCCTGGGTAGTGATGTTTGCCATGGTGATGAATTAGGATGAATTTGGAGGAATTAAGAGTAATATGTTTTGTAATTTGGTGGGTGTAATTTGAGAACAAATGCTAATGTAATGTAGCAGTAGTTCAGTTGGTGTAATATAGTGTATTTTGGTGGGAAAACAATGTAATCTGTTTTGAGTTTTATGAGTAAGCATTAGTTCATTGTAATATTTGTTTAGAGTTTTTTATTTGATCGAATGGAAACTTGTTTAGAGGTTAGAAATGGTGACATATTGATAAGCATCATACCAAAACCAGGTTACAACCATATGTTGTTTATTGGATATCAAAAGTCCTTTGGATACAAAAACAAGTTATTCATAGGCATGTCTTGTTCATGGGATACCAAAAACAGGTTACAAAAACAAGTTATTCATAAGCATTTTTTGTTCAATGCCATACGAAATGGTTACACCAAAACAGCATATCAATATAAGCATTTTTTGTTCAATGCCATATCAATATAAGCACAACACCAAAACAGGTTTCAACCATCACATTACATATCAAATGGTCAATTACATGCCATGTACCTGACTCAAAAACCTTGACAGACATGAAAGCCTAATAAAACCAACCATCACAGACATCAATAATCCCACAAACCAACAACCCAAT